CCCGCCGAGGCCACAGGGCTCTACCGGGCGGTGCTGCTCAGGTCCGGTAAGTGGGGACCACGCCTCGCAGCCCCTGATCTCCTAAGCTGGAGGAGCGAGCGACAAGCGTGCGGCGCGCAGCCCCCCGGGCAACCCTTGGCTGAGCTCGTCTGTCCTCGATCCTTGCCCTGCGCCCTCCCTCCCTTCCCTTCCGTCATGGCTGTCAATTACTTTTTTATCCTTCCCCCCTTTCCTCTTTTCTTCCTACATTCATCCTTTCGGGGGATCTGTCCTTAGATAGATTGCTTTTTTTTTTTCACAATATCTGAGAACACACGCGCGCGCACACTCACGCACACACGCGCGCACATACCCACTCTCAGTTTCTCCACTGCAAAAGTCCTGCGAAGCTCTGGCTCCCGGCTGATCTCTGCGACAGACTCCGCCCGCGCACCGAGGCGTCGGACCGCGTGGGAGATGTGGGGCAGGGATGCGGGAAACGCGCCCCGCGGGAGCCGCCCGCAGCGGAGCTCCGAGCGCTCGGGCGAGGGACGGTCACTGTGCCACGGGCCATTGCACGAGGGGGAGGAGGAGAGCAAGTTACAGGCAGGTGAGGAACCGTTTCTTCTATTCGTGTGCGTGCAGCGATTCGGAAGGAAACACGGTGGTTTTATTTTTCCCAGGATGGGGATTGGGTAACAGGTGGTTCGTCTTTGCAGTAAGCACGTATTAATTTTCTACTCGGGACAGTAAGAGTTTTGTTTTTTTTTAATTCGGTAAATGAAGTAAGCGAATGTATATTCAGTGTCAAAATAATTTAGAAAAACATGGGGATGTAGGAAGGTGAGGCGCAGTAAACATTTGTGGGGTTTTCTTCCAAATACGGGCTTGGAGAAACGTTTGGGGAAAATGGAGATCAGCCTCGGACTGGAATCCCTGCCACTGGAGATAAGTGATTGCTAAGTGTCAGGGAACCTGGGCTCACGGGCCAGCTGCACTCGGCGTTGGGCAAAGAGTCCTGCCCACGGGCAGAGCCTGGAGGCAAAGGCGCGAGGAGGCCAGCAGGGTGCCCTGCGCTGAGTGGCCGGGACTCCCTGCATCTCTTCCCAAGACCCGCCTTGCCCCGGGGGGCGGGGGAGCCCGCCGCCCAGTAGTGATTGGAAATCTTGGAACAAGGCTTCTCTTAAGTCCCAAAACAACAACTGGCCCAGACTCGAGGCCCGGCGGCGCCTTCCTGGGGGAGGGTCTCCACTGAGCCGGGCGGGCAGAAAGGGAGGAGCCCTGAGATCAGACGAATCTGTTTTCAGATCCGGGCTCGGCTGATGGCTGCGCAATGCCCGCTGCCTAAGTGTCCCCACCCAGTTCTTGTCTTCTCACCAAGTTGCGGATGTGGCAGGTCCCAATCCGAAGACCCTGGGCTTCCTCTGGGGCTTCCCCTGGACCTGGAGCACCAGGGGCGAGCCTCTTTTGAGCTTTCAGACCATCCAGCAGAGTAGACAAGTCAGAGTCGGTCCGGGGGGCGACCTGCTGGTCCCCTAGCTATGCCACACGCGGTTACAAGCCAGGACGCGGGCCAGAGGCTTCCTTGAAGGAGTGAGCGCCCCGTGATTGGAGCACTTACTATAAGAAGTTTATTGTGGCATTTAATCTTCACGATTCTGTTAGGACACAGGTTGTCATTTCCATTTCGTAGACTGAGAGGACTGAGGCCAGAACTTGAACAGCTTTTTAGGAAGAGAACTTCCACACCTTCTATGGGCTACAAAGCATTTATTTTTTTTTTTTCTTATACCGAGGATTGAACCCAGGGACGTCTAACCACTGAGCCACATCCCCAGCCCTATTTTATATTTTATTCAGAGACAGGGCCTTGCTGAGTTGCCTAGGGCCTCTCTAAGTTGCTGAGGCTGGCTTTGAACTCGGGATCCTTCTGCCTCAGCCTCCCAAGCCACTGGGATGACAGGCCTGCACAACACTTTCAAACTTGAATTCATCTATGCCAAAGCCCACACATCCTCAGAGAACAGTAACAATGATGGTCACTTGTTATTGTCACAGAATCTCTACCCAGTGCCATACACCTGTTACCTCACCAACTGTTCATTCATTTATTTATTCATTCCACTAAGGGTTAGCAGCCTCTGCTCTGCACTAGGTTTTAGGCAAGGCACAGGGATATCAATATCAATACAATGGGCTTGTCTGTCAGTTCAGGGAGGTGAGTCATGTTATGCTCTATTGGACATACAAGGAAATGGAAGCTGGGATGGCAACATGACTTGTCTAAGGTCACATAGCTGATTGGGGTAAAGCTGAGATTCAAAGCTAGGGCCGAGGTTCGTGCCTGTAATCCTAGGGGCTGGGGAGGCTGAGGCAGGAGGATCGAGGGTTCAAAGCCAGCCTTAGCAAATTATTGAGGCCCTAAGCAACTTAACAAGACCAAGTCTCTAAATAAAAAATAAAAAGGGCTGGGGATGTGGCTCCGTGGTCAAGTGCCCCTGGGTTCAATTCCCAGCACCAAAAATTAAAAAATAAAAAAAAATAAATTCCAAAGCTAAGGCTGAGCACCTCTAGAACCATTTCCCTGGGTCTCTTACATGGAAGTATGGGACCAACTTGGCCATTTAGTGGAGGGGTGAGCAGCTGTCTTTCCTTTCTGAAGTCCCCAAGGAGGAAAGAACAGAATTAAACCCGAGAGGGTGGCTGTTTTCAAGAACAGTGGCCTCAATTCGTGCATCAAATGATATTGCACTTTGGGGAAAATGTTCATCCCAAATTATTTCAAAATAGCTTCTTATTATGAAATGAAAACATGCTTCCATAACTGTCTGGGGAAATTGAAAATAAAACAGGGGGAAATGTAACCCATGATGCCACTAACCCCAAGCAGCCACAGGTAACATTTGGGGATATCTCCTTCCATTCTTTGCTAATCATCTTTTGTGTGTTTGGTTTACACTGTTCAGATTGTTGTGACTCTAGTCTTTAATCCTATTTTTTTTTCACTTGAACAAAAATCTTTAATGCTCTTACATGGGTTATCAAAAAAAAAAAAACTGCTTCTACTTAGGCAAATGCCCAAGTCTAGGCAGGCATTGTACAAAGGGCCTTCCATGCCCTGTATTCTTTATTCCTCCAAAGAACCTCTGCTCCTAGGCTGGGCGTGATGGCACATACCTGTCATCCCAGCAGCTTGGGAGGCTGAGGCAGGAGGATTGCAAGTTCAAAGCCAGCCTCAGCAACTTAGTGAGGCCCTAAGCAAATCAGAGAGTCCCTGTCTCTAAATAAAATACAAAACAGGGTTAGGGATGTGGCTCAGTGGTGAAGCACCCCTGGGTTCAATCCCCAGTACCAAAAAAAGGTTAAAAATCTGCCCCGGTTCAGAGATGAAGGAACAAGGTCTCTGAGCTGTCCAGCCATGGAGCCGGGATCAGTATCTCGGTTGACACCAGGACCCTGCTCTTAACCACTGAACTGGAAGGGTCACCTCTGTGGAATAAGTCCCTCCTGGAAAGCTATGCAGTCCTTGAGTAAAAGTCCATCTGAGGTGTCTTACCTACACCCCACCCAGAGCTCAGGCCAGGGTCCTGCTGGGAAGGAAAGTATCTCTCCGAACCGTGGGCCAAAGGGTATCTCCCCAGGTGCCTGCACCTGTCCTCTGCAGCCAGGGGACAGGCACAGCCCCCAGCTCTGCTTCTGCCAGTTAAATGTGAATTTCAGAAAAACATCTTTTGGGGCCATTAATATTTCCTAATTGCTTTAAAAATTATTTGTTCTTTTTAGTTATCCATGACAGTATAAGTGAATTTTGACATAGAATACACACATGGAGTCTAACTTCCCATTCTTGTGGTTGGACATGATGTGGGGTTTCCCTGGTCGTGTGTTCATATATGAACACAGGAAAGTTCTGTCCCATTCACTCCACTGTCTTTCCCATTCCCATCCCTCTCCCTTCCATTCATCCCCTTCTGTCTAATCCAATGAGCTTCTATTCTCCCTTCCTGCCTTTTATGGTGTATTAGTATCCGCATATCAGAGAGAACATTTGGCCTTTGTCTTTTGGGGGGATTGGTTTATTTCGCTTAGCCTGATAGTCTCCAGTTCCATCCAATTACCAGCATATGCCATAATTTCATTCTTCTTTATGGCTGAGTAATATTCTATTGTGTATATATACACACCACATTTTCTTTATCCATTCATCTGTTGAAGGGCACCTAAGTTGGTTCCATAGCTTAACTATTGTGAATTGAGCTGCTATAAACATTGATGTGGCTGTGTCACTGTAGTATGCTCATTTTAAGTCCTTCGGGTATATGCCCAGTTGGAATAACATTTTCATGTAAGCATGTTCCAAATATTGCATGGGATACAGTTAAAATAAAAGATTATTTATGGCTTATTCAAAATTCAAATTTAACTAGAGTGTTGCATTTTTATCTGCATCATCTGGCAACCACAGTCAGGAATTCTGGAAGTTTGCTTGATATGACAAGCTGTGGTCAGCCCAGGTTCCCCTCTACACACACACACACACACACACACACACATACACACACACACCAACACACATCCCTCTGCCTATCCCTAGGTCCACTACCCTGTTTTTATCTGGCTACAAGCAAATTAAAATGTACACAGAGCCAAGCATGGTGGCACACACCTGTAATCCCAGCAGCTCAGGAGGCTGAGGCAGGAGGATCCTGAGTTCAAAGCCAGCCTCAGCAACTTAGCAAGGCCCTAAGCAACTCAGTGAGACCCTGTCTCAAAATAAAATATAAAATAGGGCTGGGGATGGGGCTCAGTGGTCGAATGCTTCTGTGTTCAATTCCCGGTACCCCCCCTAAAAATATATATGAGGTGGGGGACACCCCAGAGTCCTTTTGCACCTTCGAAATCAAATTAGTTAGCCTAATCCCAGCTGGATTGAGGACTAGCTTTCTAAAAAAGGACTCTTGGTTCTTCCCCTCCTGCCCCCCTCTCCCGTGTTCACGCTTGAAGTCCCTGCCCTGGGTTAAATGCTTCCCCGTTCAAACTTGTTGTACTGGGGACTCAGGGTCCTTTAATAATCTCTCCACAGATCTCATGACAAGGTTTGCTGCCAATACAGCTTCTCCCCCCCCCCGCCCCGCCCCCGCCATGTCTTTTCAACAGAGCGTGTTTGGGGCCGTGGGGGAGGAAGGGGGCTCTGTCTTGTGGGTGGCTTCTCAGAGACCTCATTGAGGCCTTGGACATTGAAACTGAATACAGGAAGTTTTGAGTTGCTATGGAAACTTCTTGTGGATGCTCGTGGGCCCCTGTGAGCTGCTCTCAGCTTGGCGACAAGAGGGCAGAAAGGAAAGAAAAGCCACTGGAGGAGGTTTTTCCCTGCAGTGTGCGGCCCTAGCCCACACTGGATGCAGGAAATCTCCCTGGGGCCCCTCAAAATTGCCTCCTCTGGTCTTCACTGTCCCCCATCCTTTTGGCCTCTCGGGACCCTGGGAAATCAGACTTTAACAGGACAAGGAGGAGGGGCAGGGGCTCAGAGGGAGAGCGCTTCCTGGCTTGTGTGGGGCACTGGGTTCGATTCTCAGCACCAAATATAAATAAACAAAATAAAGGTCCGTTGACAACTAAAATAAAAAATAAGATAAAGAAACATACCAACCAAATGCAAAGTGAATCTTGAATAAAAAAACAAAATTTATTTTTTTAAAAAAGGACAAGAAGGGATCTCAGCATCTAGGCACCCCCAGCCCATCATGGGGTGAGCAAGACTTCTGATCCCCAGGTCCCTTGGACTCCAGCCTTACCTTCTAGCAGAATGGAAGGGCCCCCAGGAAAGGCGCATGAGTAAAGGCAGGAGGTGGCACCTGGGGCTTGACTTCTGCCATTTCCTAGAGTGAACTCATTCTCTCCAGAGCCTCTATTTTCCCATATTAAAAATGGACAGAACTGGCCCAGCGCAGGGTACGCACCTGTAATCCCAGTGGCTCAGGAGGCTGAGGCAGGAGGATGGTGAGTTTAAAGCCAGCCTCAGTAATTTAGCAAGGCCCTGAGCAACTGAGTGAGACCCTGTCTCTAAATAAAATATAAAAAGGGCTGGGGATGTGGCTCAGTGGTTGAGCAACCCTGGGTTCAATCCCTGGTACCAAAAAACAGCAGGGGCTTGGGGGTAGAATCATACTATATGTGACTCTGCAGTTTGACTTTCCCCTACACATGTAGGGGACCTCCCTTTCAGGTCAATAAATAGACATGCTTATTGACTGTCCCCCTCAGGGGGTGTGGTGACATCTCTCACTGGTTGGGGGGCGGGTTGGACATGGTGGTCATTGACTGCTGATCTGGTCCCCGGGCATGCAGACCCACACAGCAGGGTGGTGCCCTCCAAGCTCAGAGATACCAATGTTTTGGGTGACGTCGGGGCCACCGTAGTTGCTGAGCACCTTGGTACTGGGACAGGAAGTCTAAGTCAGATAAGGTGAGGCCCCTGCCCTCAAGTCTGGTGGGTGGGTCTGATCTGTTTGTACCCAGGCTGGACTGTGAGAAGGGCATTAGAGGGAGGAGCACAGGGCTCCCCACTGCCCGGGAACACGGCGTCTGCCCCGGGGGATTCCTGCTCAGGTCTCCTTGGCCCTCCCTTCTTCTGGGGCTGGCATCGGGATCTTCCAATCAGGGGAACACAAATCACAGAAATGGAGGTCGTCGCTGGTATGGGGGCTCTCAGGCCTGGATTATGGGATTCTGTCTTCTCTAGGCAGTGACAAGAAGCTGTCAGAAGTCCTACTGCCCCAGGATCCCTCTTAGTTCCCCCAAGGGTCCCAGGCATGGGGCTTGGTTCAGGAAAGTCCTTGTAAACCCCAGGAAAGGCTGGAGTCATTGATCTGCAAAGTGGGACAACGCATAGAAAGTCCCATGGGAAGTTAAACCAGGGCAAAGTGGGAAGTGAGGAAGGCTGTCAATCAAAGGAGTTCTAGAAAAGCTGAATTTAGAAAGAAAAAAAGGACCACACATTGTTGTATGCCTGAGGATTTGTGGCCCACTAAGTTTCAGTGGCCCCAGAAGAGTCGGGTTGGCAGGACCTGCCTTGGCCTCCCTGCCTCCACGCATCTCCCATCGTCCCCCTCGCCCCCAACACTGTGGGCACAATGGTCTTCCATCACACCAGCTAAGCCCCACCCAAGGGCTTTGCTCTGAGCTGTCCCCACTCCCTGGAAGGCTCTTCCATGTAACAGTCACATGGTCAACTCCTTGTGATTCAGCCTCCCTCAGCCTCTACCTTCCCCCAGTTCCCAGGCCCTCCCTGTTCCCTCACCTGGTGTCACTCTCAACAGAGCATGTGTCACAGTAAATGTCTTCTTGTACATCTCTTTAGTTATTGTCCGTGTCTCCCCTTGAATGTGGGTTCCCTGAGGACAAGGATACTCTCTGTCTCCTTCACAGTGTATCCGCAGCACTTCCAATGGTAACAGGGAGACAATAGGTCCTCAAGAAGTGTTTGCTAGCCAGGCACAGGGGCGCACAACTATAATCCCAGTGGCTAAGGAGGCTGAGGCAGGAGGATTGCAAGTCCAAAGCCAGCCTCAGCAACTCAGTGAGACCCTATCTCAAAATAAAATACTAAAAAGGTCTGAGGATGTGGCTCAGTGGTTAAACACCCCTGGGTTCAATCCCTGGTACAAAAAAAAAAATGGTGTTGTTACATAAACAAATAACACAGGCCAGAGAGAACCAAAACTGCCTTTCCAATGCCTCCTCTATTCAAGTTTGATGTGTGTCTGGGCCTCATCCCCTTCCAGCCAACCAAGACTGAGAAAATAAAGTTGGGGTGAAGGCCCAGTTTAAGATGCCAGCTGCCTCACTGGGGGACCAAGGGTAGTGCCAAAAGCTAGAAAAGTTCCAGATTTTCAAGTGAAAGCTGATTGTGAAATGAGGAGAAGGCCTCCATTATCTCTGAGCACCCAGGTTGACCTTGGGCCCCTGCAGAGGGGGGGGCATTATCAGGGATTGAACCCAGGGACCCTTAACCAATGAGCCACATCCCCAGTCCTTTTTGTATTTTATTAACTCACCAAGTAGCTGAGGGCCTCATTCAGTTGCTGAGGCTGGCTTTGAACTTGGGATCCTCCTGCCTCAGCCTCCCTAGCCATTGGGATGACAGGCGTTGGCCACCTGCTGGTGCAGGGTCCAGTTCTTTTTCTCTGTCTCTGCAGAAGTCCTGACTGAGCACAGTCGGCCCCGGCCTTCCCTCTCATCTCCTCTGTCACCTCCCAACCCCTGTGTGATTATCCGCATTGGACAAACATGCAGCCCCAAGGCTCAGGGGCACTGATTACCAGGACTGACCCAGGAGCCTGCCAGGGCCCAGACACTGTCCTCTGTCACTCTCCCACACGCTCCTGCTGGCTTCTCTGCAAAGTCTGGGAAAAGTTCAGAGTGTCGAGTAAATAATGCACAGAAGTTCCTGACCAGGTGCTGAGCCACTGCCGTGTCCTTTCCCCTCTCTGCACCCCTGACACCCCGAGGCCATTTTCCCCTGTGAAACTCCCGGGGGGCTGCAGGAAGCCGGGC